CATCATTGTGTATTACATAATTGACCCATATAGAAGCATGATGACAATGATGAATGATATACGATGATGCCTGTGATGATGATGCATGGATCATTATGTATTACATAATTGACCCATATAGAAACATGATGACAATGATGAATGATATACGATGATGCCTGTGATGATAATGATGATGATACATGCTGTATGCAACATGATCACTGATGACTGTAGAAGCAGCAATGATGACAATGAATGATGCATGATGACTTGTCATCTAATCCTGTACRCACACAAAAACGATATACACATGATGAGCGATAATACACAATGAACAATGAGCTTAATTTTTATAGAAGATTTAATGACTTYGTCCATGTATTGCTGTATTTGTTTCTTTTAATATTTATATTCATGTGTAACTGATGTTTTTTAACTGTGTTTAAATAAAGATTACCTACCTTCATAGGAATTCAAGGCCAACTCGGACGCAACAAACATCAAAAGAAACATCATACAACGGAGAATASCAATGAGATTTGTTCGTCTTCAGCCAATCAAATGGCACCGAGARATGGCGTTACGCGTGACATATCGTGGGTGCAGTCACGAGTCACTGAACAAAGGTATTTTTTTAAACATTTGTTGTAATTTGTGACATTCTGTTAAATAAATAAATTTAGTCAATTAATTTAATAAAGAAACTATCTTTGTACTACAAATGTAACACTTAAAACAATCCCCTGTTCCATGATCAAATTAGAATTTAGATGAGAGATGAGGCGTTAAGCCGTGTGGGATTGGCTCGGAAATCATATAAGAACTTGCGTAATAAGTAAATTACGAGCCTTGTATAAAACGACTGAACAAGAGTGCCAATGGGCCTTTCACAACTTCAAGTCGCGTAAAAAATGAGCCAGCTCAACTAGAAACCGTGGACAGCTATTTCGGCCCAGTATTGGGCCTYGTCATCTAGTGAGCTGGTAGAAACTGGTAGAAWTTAGAAGTTGATTTTTGCGGAGGGAGAAAAACCTGAGAACCCAAAGAAAAACCCTCAAAGCACAGGAGAGAACCAACAAGCAACTCTACTCACATACAATGGTAATTGCTTTAGAAGGGCTGGATAGTAGATTTTTAGGTTGCTGGGTAATTTTAAAGGAACAGAAATACCYCAATAGAAAATAATTACTAAAATTGAAATGCGAAAATCCTTTTCCCCCCAGATGTTGGAGTAGGCTCTAAAACAATTGCTGATAATCAGATGACCTCTTCATCTACACTGAATACTACATATGCACCCCACTATGCCCGGTTGAACGCACAACTGGAAGGTGGAGGGTGGTGTGCTGGAACAGAAGACACCAACCAGTACCTAGAAATAGATCTAGGCAACACCTACAACGTTACACAGGTAAAGGGGGTGCTCACCAGTACCTTGAAATAGATATAGGCCAAACCTACAACGTTACACAGGTAAGGAGGTTGCTGACCTTAACCTAGAAATAGATCAAGACAACACCTACAACATTACACAGGTAAAGGGGGTGCTCACCAGTACCTTGAAATAGATATAGGCCACACCTACAACATTACACAGGTAAGGGGGTTGCTGACCTTAACCTAGAAATAGATCAAGACAACACCTACAACATTACACAGGTAAGGGGGGTGCTCACCAGTACTTAGAAATAGATATAGGCCACACTTACAACATTACACAGGTAAGGAGGTTGCTAGAAGCAAGGGTGGTGGACTTACTTTCTTTTCAATTGTTGACTATTACAGGTTGCCACACAACCTCGTTATGGTGGTCCTTTGAGCTCAGTGACGTCATTTCTCCTCGACTACAGTAGTGACAGATCAACATGGATCACCTATCAAATCAATGGAGTCAATAAGGTGAGATTCGAATGTCCTCTTAATGATGATAAAAAATAAACAATCAGCGCGTGAGAAATTTGYAAGCTATTGTAAAAAATTGTATTTGATTACAGGTTTTTATCGGAAGCTCAGTAGAACACTTTGCATTACGACAAACACTAAACCAACCCGTCACAGCTCGCTATCTTCGGTTCAAACCAAAGACTTTCGTCGGCAAGATGTGTATGCGGGTTGAAGTATATGGACAGAAAACTAACAGCCCTGCTCAAGGTAACGCTCGATGATTTAAGAAAATACCTAACAGGGCTTTGCCTGGTGTAAGGGAATCTGGATGTTACGATTTAGCTAAAATGATCCAGAATCCAGATCGCGGAATTCATATCCCGTTCCTGTTCTGTTAATAAATGCATTACAGCAAACCCACATATGTAAAAGAAAAGACTATTAAAAGTGAGGTCTACACTACTAATTCCTTTGCCGTTTCAATCTTAGCTCCTCCTTTTATGCGTAGTTTGCTATTGGCTAAAACAAGTGGAATGGTTTCCTTGTGTAACGTACATCACAAACGGTGAGTAGGCATTTAGAAAGTGCTCGCAACGTCGCATTAATCTGAGGCTGCATTGATTTTTCTTGTCGGGGGTGGATTTTTGGGGTATGGGGGGGGGG